GCTGGCATGCTGGCACTGCGTTCTGGAGTGCCTCCACGGAGGCGAGCCCGCGACGCCGATAGTGGAGGCGCTGAATGCGCGATAACCAAATGAAGTGCGATCGGTCGCCCTCGCCCTGTCTCTCTCGCAACCCGACGGGACGCCCCGCGAGTGCGACGAGGAGACTTTTCGCGCTCTGCGCTGCACCGCTACTCGCTGCCGACAAAACGCTCTAATTAACACGCAAGGTCGGGCGGTTGTCGTGCGCCACGCGCGTGCCTGTGCCGGCCGCACTCCCCCCGTCTCTCTCGCACTCTCGGGGCGCGCCGTAGTGCCGTAGGGGTGCGAGAGAGACGGAACGCCGTTCGGCATGTCGCGCTGCCGCGCCGTCGCGACGCACATCTGCATCGGGGAGGTTTTCTCCTTGCCCGGCGGGACGCGGCGGCCGCGACGGCCGCGACGGCCGAGACGGCCTCCGCGACGACGGCGACGTATCCACGGCATGTCCGTTGGCGGCGTTGCCCGGGGTTCCGTAACGGCGGCCCGTGTAACGAGCGAGGCAGTGAACCGTCTCTCTCGCACTCGCGGGGCGTGCCGTCGCGGTGCGAGAGAGAGAGAGAGAGAGAGAGAGAGAGAGAGAGAGATAGAGGCGCTGGAGGCGCGGCGTGCTCGTTGGGAGGTTATTAGTTTCGCGTTACGGCGGCGATCGCGCGCCCAGGGAGCTAATCTGCGGGAACGTGTAGTGTGTGTGTGTGCGTACGCTGTGTGTGTGTGTGTGCGTGCGTGTGTGTACTTTCTCCCCAATACAAGTGTTTTTGAGCGGCGCGCGGGGGGGGGGGGGGGGCCGCGCGCGCGAGCAGTGCCAACTGCAAAATAATTAAGCAGCGACACACACACACACACACACACACTGTCAATGAGACGTGCCGCCGTGTCCCCTGCCTGCGTTTCCCTGTCCCTTGCAGAGGGGAGTCCCGCCCCGCGCGCAGCCATGGCAGCCACGGCGCGCCCAGGAGAAATTGCCGTGCGCAAAGTGGTGCGGAGGCGCGCGCTGCGCATGCACGCTCCCGTGTGTCATTTCGCTGTCCGGGACTCGAGCGTGCACGGTAGCGGAGCGGGCAACTACTCCTTCGATTTAAAAAAAATTAAGTTGAAAGTTGCGAGGAAAGTGGGCGGCAGTAGCTTTTAAGGGTGACAAGCTTTACGCGGGGTATCTAGTGGTTTTCAAATTGAAAGACGTCGCTGTTTGCCTGCCAGATGCGAAAGAAACAAATAATAAGTTCTTGGCGGTTTTTTTTGCGCACTATACTAATTTTTCAACTATTTAAAAAAAATGTTGTTTTTTGTTTGTTTGTTTTAACAGTGGGACAACGGTGCTGCCGGAAACAGCGGCCGGGGTGCTCTGCTGCTTGTTGCCAGCCCGGGCGTGCGCGCGGGCAGGCGGGCAGGCAGGCAGGCAGCCCCGGGGCGGTGGTCCCCGGTGGTCCCTCGGGGTGGTCATTTGCACCGCCGAACTTTCCAACCACGACGCGTCAATAAACGACCCGCGGCGACGTGCGACGCGCACCTGCCTAGCGGCGGCCTGCAGGCACACTGGTTCCGAGAGCCGACTTGGTCGCTCTGTCTCTCTCGCACCTGTAGGGAACGCCCCATGAGTGCGAGAGAGACAGAGCGGCGACAACGACTCTCGGAATGAGTCTGCTGGTGCACTTGACTCGCCACGACGCGGCGCGCATCGGAAAAACGGCGGCCCGGGCGAGTCGCCCGCCTGTCTCTCTCGCGCCGCTGCGGCCTGCGGGGCCCCGGGAGTGCGACGGGGAGACGGGGACGGCTCTTCGGACTCGGTCCGCGGCACGCTTCTCATCAGCGGCCGCGCCGGGCCTGCCCCTGCCGCTCGGCCCGCCGTGTGCCGCGCGCCGTGTCAGCGGGAATAATAATCGACTTTTCGGGGCGCCAACGCAAACAATGCCCGACGGGACCGACAGGACAGGACGACAGGCAATAAAGTCCGCGGCACTGCGAGGGGCCCACGGGGCCCACGGGGCCACGACCACGCCGACGACCACGACGAGGACCGCGCCGCCGCCGCCGCCGCCGCCGCCGCCGCCGCCGTCATGAAATCGAGAGGAAAACTTTCTTCGCGTATTTTGGTGGGCGGGCCTCGGCCCGGTCCCCGCCCGGTCGGTCTGTCCCCCGGGCCCGGCGGCGGGCGGGCTCTCCGATGAGTGAGTTAGAGAGTCCGGTTTGTCCGGCCGCCCCGCCCCGCCCCGCCTCGGCGCGCCACGCACCGCTGTGCAGCCCGGGGCCTCCCTTGTGCACGCATAGGAACACAATCAGCCGCGGGCCAAATGGCAACAAACCGAAAAAAAAACACACACAGACGCACGGATGGAACGACATGAAGCGGAAAAGAAAGCAGCGGCGCGCTCGTCGGCGTCCTTCCGCGTCAGTGTGTCAGTGTGGTATGAGAAATAACGCCTGCCGGCCGGCGCGCGCGGTGGTTATCGTCGCACGGTTTCTCTGAATAAATTAGCTCCGCCGGGCCCAAAATTAAGTCGCGATTATTTCGGCTCTAGTTACACACCCCTCTCCCTCTCTCCCTAGACAAGACGTGTTGTTGTCGTCGTCTTTTTGTTGTTATTTTTCGCGGCGAGGTTTTCCTTTCCTAGCCGCCTTCTCCTCCGGCCTGTCAGGCATGCGGCAGCTCATGGGAACGGGCGGCGTGCCTATGCATGTGTTTGCTTGTGTGTGTGCGTGTGTGTGTGTGTGTGTATGTGTGTGTATATATATATATGTGTGTGTGTGTGTGTGCAGCCCCGTCAGCCCCAATGACACCGAGTGACGGAACAGCGGCCGCCATCACTCCAGGCTCAACGAATCAAAAGTGAGAAATGCCACTCTCACACACACATACCTATTTTCTCTCACACACACACACATAGACACGTGCGCGGCCTCGAAGCGCGGTTTGAAGCGAGGGGTGTGGTGCGCCAATGCTCAAAACCAGGCGGCCAGAGTTCGCCTCCTCCGCGTGCAGCGCGTCGGCCCCGCCGCCGTGGAGAACGTCGAGGCCGTGGAGGAGGCTGGCGGGCGGCACGCGCGACGAGCTGGGCCTCGAGCTGGGCCTCGAGCTGGGCGTCGCCTCCGGGGCCTACCGGGCGGCTGCACTGGCTGGCTGCGCTGCGGCCCCGGAAACTCTTAACAAGCCCCGAGCGGAGCGGAGCGACCCCGCGGAAATGAAAAACGCGATATGAAAAGATAGTAAAAGCAAACCGTTTTTCCGCGCAGAGTCGCCGCTACCGCGGCACCGCGGCAGCGCGTCCCTGACGGGCCAGCCGAGCGATTCAGACAAGGGGTCCCCAACCGGCGAAAATCGGTGTACACGCGTGAAAAAGTCATTAAAAAAGTCACTAAAAGTCAAAAAAGTCACAAAAGTCAAAAAGTAACAGAAAAACCACTATAAAGTATCCAAAAAGTCACGAAACAGCCTTTAAAAATGCCAAATTTCAATGAACGCTGGTGGAAAAGTAATTTTTTAAGTCAAAAAAGTCATTTAAAGGTCAAAAAGTCATTTAAAAGTCAAAAAGTCATTAAAACGTGTGAAAGTGAAAATAGTTCCAAGGCAAAACAGTCGCCAAAAGTCAGAAAAGATACTCAAAAAAGTCACAAAAAAGTCAAAAAACAATCAAAAAGTCACAAAAAAGTCAAAAAAGTCAGTTTTGACTTTATGTCAGTGTACGCTCGCCGGCTCGGTTGGGGACCCCTTGGATTCAGAAGTTCGGCCTGTGGCCCTGTCTCTCTCGCACCCTTGCGGGGAGACCCATGAGTGCGAGAGAGACGGAGCGAATGAAACGACTGTTCTGACTCGCTTGGCTGGCGGGCCTGGCGTTCGTCGTCCACAAGGGCCAGGCGTGAGGCGCGAGGCCGGGTTGTCCCTGGGGGTCCAGTCCGGTTCATCTGGTTGCCTGGTTCATCTGGTTCCCCAGGGCACTGCCACGCCGCGTTATGTCACCGTGTCAACCCACAGAGTCTGCTTCTTTTTCTCTTTCTGCCGGGCCATCAACCTGCTCAGGATGAGCTCTTCGAGACACACTGTACTTCCTGGTGTTGCCGGTGTTATCGGTACCGCCGCCACCCCACATCCGACTGTCTGTCTGCCTGCCTGTCCGTCCGCTCGTCCGCCTGTCTGGATGCTGAAACGCGGCGCGCGCGCGAACGTGTCGCAAAAGCCGAAGGCATCATAATCGTCGGCTCAAACATTGTTCTGCCGAGTGTGGGCCGCGGGATGCGCCGCGCCGCTGCGTCGCTGCGTCGCCTCACACTGTGCTGCCGTGCGTGCCCGCCTCGGTTCCCGTTTAACTTCTCTCACTCGGCGCGGCAGAAGCAGACGGACACACCCCCACACGCGCGCTAGTGCGCCACCTGCCGCGATAACTCCGAACCGAAAGGCACTTCGAGAAATGGCCGAGGAAATGGCCAAGTCGTTTCCGGATGACCCCCAAAGGATGGGCGGTGGATGTTGCGAAGCATTCAGCTCCTGGGACGCACGCGGGACGCCAACAAGGCGCAAGCCTCGTCCTTGCTGAACAATGATAGACAGCCCACGCACTCCCTGGGCGTCCTGGCTGGACGTCCTGGACGCACTGCAGAGGAAGGAGAGGCGAGGCGCAGTGCGCGCAGTGAGTGTGTTGCAGTGTGTTGCACGCTCGCCTCGCAGGCGCCTGGCCCGCCCGCCAGCACCGCTAGACACCGGTGTCTTGCGGGCCAGTGCAGCGCCTACCCTTCAGGCGCCTGACGGACACAGGATAGCCTGCCCGCCGCACACCCGTGCCTTGCGGGCCATTGCAGTGCCTACCCTCCAGGCGCCTGAGGCGCCTGACGGACCCAGGATAGCCTGCCCGCCTCACACACGTGTCTTGCAGGCCTCAGGATGTGCCTACCTCGCAGGCGCTTGGACCGCGCGAAACCACTACAACATGAAGATGTCAGAGCAAAGATGTCAAGCTCAGCCACTCGCTTACCAACAGCACACTCCGATGAATCTGCCCGCAGGGCGAAGAGTATCCACAGAAAGTTAGGCGCGTGGTCGACGAGTTAATCCAACACTATTGACACGGGCGACCTGGCTACCCGCTGACGCACACACACATTCACCAAAAAAAAATGAAAAAGCACTGACAGCGCTATGCTGTTAAAACACTCGCGATAAACGCCGAAAAAAAATGATTCAAAACTGGGACAACCACACTGAACACACGCACGCGGCACACAAACACTTGTCGCACTCCCGAACGATGTTAGTTTCCCGATTTGATTCGATTTGCACGATTCACTTCGCACGCCTCGCGGTGACGGAGCGGTCCGGAGAGCTTCGACGGGGGGCCCCACCGGCAGCGAGCACTCCTGGGACACGACTAAGGGGCCCTCGGCGGGCTGGGCTCGGCGCGCGGCGGGCGGCGCGGCGCGGCGGGGTGGGGCGAGCCCTCCCCTTTCTCTCTCGCACTGCCGCGCCACGCCGGCACTCCGTCCAAGACTCCGTCTCTCTCGCTCCGCCGCGCCGCGCCGGCACTGCTGCCCCACTGCGCTGCAGCGCTGCACCCGCGGGGATGTCGTCCCGCGACCAGGAAAATAACAATACATAACAGCCAATCGACGCTTTGGCTGCTGCGGCCACACTGCCAAGGAAAGGGCCGGCGTCGGTGCGGCACCGATCCGTGTGGTTCGAGGCGGCCGGGCTTAAAAATAGTGTCCCCGGCCACCATCGAAGCGTAAAGTTTCCTCGTTGAGTCGATTAGTCGATTGCAGGCCGCGCGTTTCCCATGGGCAACCGCCAGACAAATGAACCGTTTAAAAGGCGGAATGAGACTCTCCAGACCGTCGAACGTCGAAATGGAGGAAACGAAGAATGAATGGAAATGATTGGGGACTGCCTGCGGCGCCCTGCGGCCCGCGCTGCGCGCTCCGCTCTGCTCGCGGCGCCACAACCCGTAAGCGCCAGTCTAGCCAGCCAGAGACAGACCGACAGCGTGGGCAGAATAACAACAGCAAGATGGCACGGTGCGAGGAGAACGCACCTGTCGGAGAGTGTTGGAACTAAACCCTTTCTTCCCCTCCCTCCTTTCGCGGGTTTTATAGTAGTGCCAACGAGGCGGCGGGGCGGCGTGGCGGGGGCCATCGAATGGTGAGTGGGACCGCGAGGAGCGCGGAGACGTGTTCGACTGTAGCGCGGCGCAAAGGTTAACACCACCAGGCTAACGCCGCGAACGCAAACGGCCGAGGGTGGCCAATGCGGCCAATACACATAATACGAGTTTGTTGGCACTTGATCTTGATCGCACTCTTTCGCCCCTTTTCCTGCCAATCATGCCTCTTCTTCTCCTTCTCGGTGGCGCTTGCGCAACAACGGCGACGCGCGCGGTGGCGGCTCCACTCCTCTTTCGGTCGTCCATCAAACAGTAATTCAATCCAATCGGATTCCAATTAAAAGACAATCCGGTGCGGCAGAACTGGGTCAGGCCGTAAAAGTCGCGCATCGCGCGTCAAAGTGACAGTGCGTGCTTGTGTGTGTGTGGGTGTGCCTCTGTGTGTGTGTGTGTGTGTGCGTGTGTGTGTGTGTGTGTGTGTGGGCGCGCCGCCGGAGACTCACACGCACGAGGCTGGTACAGCTTGGGACAATTTTCGCCGTAAATCGAGCAAAGGCGGCCGCTGTTCTACACGCGTCGGGATGAGAAAAAAAAACCATGGTGTTCCGAATCAGGGCAAAGTGCAAAAAGACACAGTCAAACAATTTTTTTTTTTTTTTTTTTAAGAGATTTGTTTTGGAAATTGCGATAATGGTCCCAAAATGTTGAAATGGTTCTCTTCCTCTCGGTTGGATTTTCACGGGACGTCATCTTACTCCGCAGGTGGTGCCGATCGCGGTGTGAGCGCGGGATTCGCCGTCTCATCGGGCTGGTCCGGGTGCGGCACGCCCCCTTTTTGCTCGCTCTGTCTCTGTCGCACTCACAGGCCGTCCCGCATGGGTGCGAGAGAGACGTCCGTCGGCGTGCTTGCCGGCCCGGTCGGCCCGCGTGCAGCAGATGAGCAATTACGATCTGCATGTGCTTTTACTCGGCGAGCCCATTATTGGCAGCCGCGATGGCACGAACAGCAGCAGTGGGCAGTGCACTGCGAATAACGCGCCGTGAGCTGCGAATAAGCAGATAGATAGATAGCTGCGGCGTTCTCCCAAAACGCGGTTCCGAAATCGATGACGTGCTTTCGGCGCCCTCCCCCTCCCCTTACGTAAATGCGTCCGGCAGACACGCACGCAGACGCGCACGCTGCAGCCTCAAAAAGCGCGCGGCAAAACGGCGGCCGGCAAAGCACAGGGCGGCGCGCCATACCACACGCTGTAACACTGTAACGCGGCGGCGGAGAACACCGTTGTTATGTAGGCCGGGCCGCGGCAGCGCGCACGTGGCGGGTGGCTCCACTTGCCTGTCTGCAATGTGTCGCCGCGGCCGAACCAGGACAGCCAGGACAGCCGGCTGTCTCTCTCGCAGCCTGTGGGGCGTACACTCTAAATATAGGGTGCCCAGCAACTGGGCGCCTTTGTCGCCCGCCCCACTTTTTAGGGTGCCAAATGTCGCCCAGTTTCTGGGCACCTTTGTCACCCAGTCTCGGGGTGGACAAATCATACAGTAACCGGCCCTCTCCCATGGTAGAGGATGCACAGGTGTCTAGATCCTGGGTGACTAAGGTGCCCAGATTCTGGGCACCTTTGGCACCTTAGTCGCTGCTGAGCCATGGGTGAAGGCAGGTTCCTTTGTGGATTGTCCACCCCTAGACTGGGCGACAAAGGTGCCCAGAAACTGGGCGACATTTGGCACCCTAAAAAGTGGGGCGGGCGACAAAGGCGCCCAGTTTCTGGACACCCTACATTTAGAGTGTACGGGACGCCGCCCTGAGTGCGGGCGAGACGGAGTGACCGCCTGCTGCAATTTGGCGAGGGGAAGGCACGGCGCGCACGCCGGCGGCAGCAGTATCATTGGCCGGGCCGCCGCGCCGCGCCGGGCCGCGCCCCGTTGTGAATGGCTCGGCCGGGTCGTTAGCACTCCGGCCCATTCACATGATAGCCCGCCGCCCCGCCCCGCCACTCTCACTTTCCATGCGTGCGAGCGGAAACTAGACGCGCACCGCGTTTTGACACGTGCACGACGGAAAGGCACACTCATGATCGGGGTGCTGGGGCCAGATCGGACTTGCCCCCCTTCTTCTCCTCCTCCTCGGCAGCAGCATGTGTGTTGCCGTGTGGCTGGGGTCGCGTTTCGCGCCGGGCGTGATTCTCGCTGTAAGATGAACGCGGTGTAGTAGTGCACCTTGCGGCACCGCTTGCGCTTGCGCTGAGTTTCCGGGTCGACCGTGCCAGCCGTCCTCCAGTAGGCCCACGCGACATCGTGAACCGTGTGTAAACACTTTTTAATTTTAATTTTTCCGTGTCTTTTTCAATTTTTTTAGTGTGTGTGTGTGCGGTGCTGTGGAAGTCCTGAGGGTTCCGCCGTCAGCGAAAAAACTAGCCGCCACAGCACAAGGAGGGCGATACGATCCGGAGGGGCGGTGCGGGGCGCGGCGACGGGAAGGCAAAACGCCCGCCAGTCCCGCCACCGAAATCGAAAGCTCGTGTTGTAGTGTAGTGGAGCGCCTCGCCGCCGCCGGCTGCCACCGGCCGTGCGCCGAGCTGGCTAACCAGAGCTGGCGGCTCGCGCCGCGTTATCGTAGCGCTGAATTCTATCACTTTACACGGCCAACAGGTTCCGCCGCCAGCCAGCCCGCCAGCCCAGCCCGCCGCGCCGGACACGCGTTCCCAGCACGGTCGTGCGCATCACGGCATGGCCGGGGCGCGGCGCGGCGGGCGGGCGGGCAGGCCCGGCCGTGTTCAAGGTGTCCGTAGAAGAAAGTTAGCGCGTCTTGGCCCCGGCCCGCCCCGGCCCGCCCCGGCCTGCCAGGCGCCGCCAGACTTTTGAACAAACGCCATTGCGCGGCGCGGCCGGGGCGCGGCGGGCGCGGCGTGCGTGCGTGATGAGGTACTACAACGAGGAGCGGAAAAAAGAGCAGAAAGAAAAGGACACGTGCCGCCACGCCCATCATCCTCGCCGAGTGCACGGCAAAAAAAAGAGAAAAAGAAAAAAGTCAGGGGAAATGGACACGCGTGTTGGGTACAGCGTTGCAGAGCGTTGCAGAGTGGGCCGCCGATCGCTCGAAATGGCCATCGGCGAGCTCTGCAGCAGGCCTCGGCGAAAGGGGCGTCGGGCTGCTCGGGCCTGTCGGGCCAAGCAGGCGAAGGGTGAGAGCGGACGACGTCGTCGCCGTGGCGGCGGCGCGGCGGCCCAGTCCCAGTGGTAGCCATGACACGCGTCGCCACGTCGCCACCCCGTGCCCTTTTTTCGAGTCGAGGCGAGGGTCCGCGGGTCGCAAGGGCTCTAAGGGCCTCCCGCCCGAGGGCCGCGCCAGCAGCGCCACTGGCGCCGGGTAGACGGCCGGGCCGTCACTTGAACCCGCGACACCAGCCACCGTCCCGGCCGTCCGCGTGCGTCGTGAGCTACTCCGCGGGGCCTGCGACCGCACGGCTCGGCTCGGCTCCACTCGGCTTGTCCCGACCTTGCGCCCTGACCGTGCCGCAGTCTAGTGCAGCCAGTACAGCAGGGGAGTTTTGCAACAGATATTAAAAGGCACGTACGTCGTCCACACAACACACACACAGACGGCACACACACGCGCGCACACACAGAGGCGTGCACTGCCGCTGCTGCTTCAAGTGGTTTGACCTGTCGCAACTAATGTGGCCGCACAGTACCAGCACTATGGCCTGGCCTGTGCACTCGGCGCTGCCCCGCGCTGCCCCGCGTCCCCTAAACCAACAACATCTCTTGCAGGCCGCCATCGTGGCACCGCGGGCCTTTCAAACATGACTCGGGCCGCGTTCAGCACCACGCTAGCCACGCCAGCACACTGCAACTCGATCCCGTCTCTTCGCGACTCTCGATGCAGTCTCCGGGTGGCCTACCCTCCGGGCGTTTCTTTTTTTGTCGGCGGAAAACTATTTCGTTTCAGTCGTTCCTAACCCGGCGTGGCGGGCTGTGGAAGCTACTGCATTCCATGCGGATTCGAAAAGCGAGACCGTCATTTGAGGTCCAAGCAATCAAGACAAGACGACTCGAAGCTCGAACATGAGCGATTCTTGCACCAGAGAAGCGATGGGCGGGTTGCGGGCTGCTCACGCCGGCTGTCGAAACCTTTCCTTTTTTCCGAACGCTGGTGACACCTGACTGCCGTGCCATTCACGCGCGCCGGCGCGCGGCGTGGCAATGCAAGGCACGGCACTGCAAGGCGCGGCACTGCAAGGCACGGCACTGCAAGGC